TTGGGAGAGCCAGCCTCATCTGCTTGATATGACGGACCTGTCTTTCCCTCTGAGTCTTTCACTGTGCTCCTCTGTGGCTTGATAGGGAAGGTTTCCTGTAATCTACGATGTGCAGAAATGGCTTGAACCTGAGACCCAGAACTAGTAAAGGCAGATGAAATCGGTATGTGAAATTCACTCTTGGCCAAAGTGGAGATGCCCCTTAGATGCAATCCAGCATAAACAGCAGCAGCTGTAGCTGGTGGCCGATGCCTCGCACGAACAGAATCCAACGTGCTTAGAAGCTGGAAGCCTGCATTCACAAACCTAGATGTGCCTGGAAAGAAGGCAGGTGTTACTCCTGGCTCTCCAGCAGTTTGGGAGAACTTTAGCTCTGACACATGCGACTGGCCTAATGGAGATGAATTAGGAGAAGTCCGTGGGCCCCCAGGGGATCCAGCTGTTTCAGGTTTGCTAGTAATTGTCTGAGTATTAGCATCACCATGCAACGGTAGCACTCCACCTTGAGCGCTCCTCCTGGTTTCTTGAGAAATATGCTTAGTACAGTTCAGAGTCTGGTACAAAGGAAGGGACTGTGATCTATCAGTTGTGCTCCTGAGCCCTTGAAATGAAGATTGAATTAAGCCATCATGAACAAGTGTTTCCAGAGGCATCGGGAGGGATGAGCGTTCATGGCCTTGTGGGAGTACCTGAAGAGCAGGGAGCTGGCTTGGGGGTCGAGAGCTCTTCATTTCAGGTGCTTTCGAGTGCTTGGTTTTACTGGCTGTTGTTTCTTCCTTCAGAGGGACTGCAGGCGAAAACCGGACAGCAGTTGAATGCATCGTTCTGGAAGAGACCACATCAAGGTTCCTTGAGGTTGGTTTTTCAATGAATGCAGAAGTTGTGACACCTGCATCCCTGGAAAAGATTCTCATTGTCGATGCTAGAGTTACATGAGCCTTGCTGTCAGGCTGGGATTCTGGATTTGTGTCTTTTGGCCTTTTGTTAGTGGAAGGTGATAATGTTGCTAACAAACCCATGCTGGCACTTTCAAGAGCCATCTTAACTGTGCCGGGAAATGGGGATCCTGCTATTTCTTTTCTTGGAGCATGGAAAGTGGCTGCTGAAATAGGACCTGGCACCTCTGTCTGCTTGAGAGCAGAACTGGAAGAGACAGCTGCAAACTCCAGAGAGCCTTGAACAGGCTCAGGTACCTCAGCACCAGGGCTGGCAAGGCTATTACTGGACTCGTTATTACTTTCTCTTTCTGGTTTTCCTCTTAGCGACTTGTTGGGCTGTTCCTCATTGGTGGTTGACTGTGATCCTTGCCTCAAGACAGTGATGCTTGGGCTGCTCAGAAGTCTGCTGGGAACTGTGCCTCCATCTTGATGTTTTAAAGCTTCTGCCTCTTCGTGTCTAGCCAGTCCCCTAGGCATCGCAGCTGTTATTTTTGCAGCCATCTCTGTTTGCACAGGGATGAAGCGAGTTGTCACTTCACTGGTAGAGTCAACTGCTGGAGTCTGAAAATCCAAGGTCGCCTCATCCAAGTTATCTTCGGTAATGGAAGGTACTTCACTGGTCACTGGGCTGCTCTCAGCTCTCAGTTGGATGTCTCCAGGAAGTTTCTGGCCTAACACTTTGCTGCCATGGTGGTCATTTCTGGCGGTATCTAACGAACAGAAAACAAGCCTTTGTCTCTGTGCACGCACATGAACTTTTAGTAGTTTGCAGCAGTACTTGGCAACACGCGGAGAGAAGTGGAAGGGAGAGGGAAGCCCTAAGGTTGACCAGGGCCAGGCTCATGGGTTTAAATAGCAAAGCAAGATGAAAATCCATATTGAAGTGCTCACTTATCTAGACATCCTCAATCACTCCTCCTCTCCCAGCATCCCAGTCCTACGTTGAGTTTCCTGGCCACTTGTAATTGTCCCGTTTCCACTGAGTCTTGGAAGTCAGAGGCAGAAAACACATTGAAAACAAGGTTCTATCTTTAAGAACTGAAACCTGGAACAGGTACACTAGGCTTAGAAACAGCACAATGACCTTCTAAAGAAGGATCCCTGTCACTGCAACCTTGGCTTAGAGAAACTTTGGCTTGGGCTATGCAAGGTTCAGTATCATTAGAGTATGAAGCTTTTTTGTTTCACCCAAGTGACACAAATGAGAACACAACAGCCCTTCGCTTCTAAACCCTCAAATCAAAAGCAGATATTTCATCATTTTAGAGGCAGATTTATGACCGAAAGGCTATTATTTTATGAAACTATATGGTTTTCCTGCTTACATTTAGAGGGTCAGCATTTTCATGCATGCTTGCCAATCCACAGCCTAAACTATTGATGTACTTTCCTCCCTGCCTGGCAGCAAATAAAGGGACAGAAAGACTAAGAGGTGATTTTGGTATGCAGTTACTTGTGTTTTTCACAAAGGCAAAGCAGGTCAGCCTGAGGGTTCGTGCCTGAGTGCTGTGCTTTTAAAGCATTTGAAAATTTGGTACTACTTTGGTCGGTTATAAGCAGGCTAAGCCACTTTAAAAGGAAGCAAAACCCTCTCGTTTACTGACTGAAAAAGGTCAGCCGTCGTTGGAAACTGGTAAGTAATATGTCTAAAATAGTTGGAATTGTGATCTTGCACAGGAAAACAACTCCCATGGTGCTCCCAACTCGAAGAAATGCAGGTACTTAGAGTAAGGATATAGATATAATCAAATCCTTGACTGAACCAAGGTCTTTGAGAAAGCCTTGTAAATATATACAAACATCCCTTTGCACTGGAATAAGGTGCTTTAAAAAAAAAGCCCCAAAGACCAGATTTAGAAAATGAAGAGAATATTCTTTGAACACCCCCAAACTTAGACTCACAAGCTGAATCCTGTTCAAAATATACAAGACTATTCTCACCAACCAAGTTAGACTTATGAATATTTGCAGAGTATGCTCATAAGCACATAATATGATGTAGAAAGGCTGGTCTCTTGCTATGAGTGACAGCAGCCCCAAGAACTCATTGGACTCACGGCAGCAGGACAAAATCTTCATCGAATTCAGAAATATTTGGCAAGACAGCTCTTTCCAGAGAAGAAACATACTCTTGAGGGGTGGACCATCTCTTAGCTTGGGCATGCAACACAAGTGGACCCCAATTTAGGCTTGCTAGCCCTCTCCGAACTGAAATCATTTAAATGAGGAACTTGAGCGTTCCAGAACAGCTGTGCAAACAGAAAAGTTGCTCCTTCGTCTTTGTTGTCACACACCTGAGTGACAGCGAAATACCCAGTTTTCTTTCACAAATACTGTACGAAAGGAAGGCAAGAAGACAGCACTGGAGCATATAACTAATGCATCACTCACCAGACAAATGCAGTAGCTCAGCTGCAATCAAAATAAAGATGGAGATTTTTTCCTGCATCTTGTGAAGCAGCTCCTGAGTCAGCCCAGTCACAGTATATTCTGACAGCGAGCAGCTAAGGAGCCACTGTTGTCTTTCGGCAATGGGCACCTGCAGTGTTTGCTCTGCATGGGTGGGGTATTGGGTTCCTTTATAACAGCTCAAGCCTGACAGCAACCAATAACCTGTTCAACTCCTCCCACCAAGAAAAGCCCACACCAGTTAGAATCCATTGATTTTTAACAAAATTAAGCTACTTAAATACTTTCAAGAAGGCTGTTTCCAGAAGTTTCACCTCTCCAAATTTCACTCTACTTATTTATCTTGCTGATAGCATAAACATTGCTTTTTGTATCTTTCCCTCCCACATTTGACAGTGAGGCCAAGTCTATATTATTAGCTAGACTAACAGATGATAATTTACATTCTAGGTACTCGAATAAATTGTGATTCTATAAACTTGTGGAGCAGTCCAATATCACACTGACACATGCAAAGCGGCACCATAAATCATCAATTGATACTGGAGTTGGAACTATTAGGTCTAAGCAGCATGAAACTTTACAATTACAAAGGACTAATTCTAATGAAAACAGTATTACTGCCTTGGCAGACCACCTATGTCCTGAAAGGGCACTTTGCTATAGGTCACATGGATTTACTAATTCATAAGAAGTTTGTCAAATTTGACAGAACCATCACCATACCACCATCACCAGATAGATCCAGAAGATCTTAAACACAAACCAAAGCTATTTTTAGGACTTGCAGACAATTAATGTGTATCCCTCATGCTTCACCTCGACTTTCAGGCTCTTTGTTTTGTGGTTGACAGTGAATTTCAGCAATAAAGCTGCTACAATTGCGTGAAAGCGAGCCTCTTCAGACCGACCTTTTATTCACAAGGTCTAAATTGCCTTGATGGACCAATACCTAAGAGTAATGCATTACTGGCTTTCTTTTCAAGTTGCATTTGCTGCTACTCCTAGTTCTTCATGAACCTCTAAACACAGACACTGGAAGGATGCAACACCGGTGTTCTGGTTTAACTACTGAATGAGTGCACAGAATATCAGGGACAAGAACCAAGGGTACCTCGAAGCAAAGAAGTCACGTACTTTTCTGACATCACATAAAAAAGGGACAAAAAGCTGATCAAGTTTACCAAGACAGTAAATACAACCAACCATGCTAGGAGAAACCGCCCATAATTCATCTGTAAGCCTCCCTGCCATAAGATATCACTGAGACCGAGCGTTAGTGAAGTCAGAAACCAAATTACTTCACAGGTAAATATGAGCACCTACAGATTTAAGCAAAACATTGTCTGGCCACCAGTGGATGGCACACGACAAAAAGGATGCTTCAATGTGGGGTTCACAATCGTAGAGCAGGGAAATAATACTAGATTTTGTTTTTAAATACCAGGTATTGGACACATGAGCTGAGAATCACTAGATCAAATCAGCAACTGGTCTAACAGTGCTCGACTTTTAATATGATTTAGCAACAAGGAACTTCCCAATAAGTGGTATACTCATTTATCACAGCAAAACAAAGTCTAATGCAAGCTTATATCTTTAATTCTTAGTCGAGAAAAGAAAGGAACTTGCTTCTAAGAAGTAACAGCAAAAAAATGAAAAGGGATTCAAAAGCCCTATGAATAATTTTTAAGAATGAAGAAACAATATTAAACAGCAAGTCATGTGAACAGCATGTAACGAAGGTCTGAGGACTTCAAACACTATGCACATATTTCATAGAGGACTTCAGAATGGCCATTCCATTGAGCTCCCGCAGTTGAGCGATATGCCTGAAAAGACCAAAACAGAAAGGAAGGATAAGATGCTGAAATGATACAAGACTGGCCAAAACAAGAATTTTAAGCTTCAAGGGCTCTGTTACAACCCATGGTCAAACTGCCAGAGATATTTGGTGTTGCACTTCAATTCCTCAAAAATAGCATGGGAAAGTTTCTACATTACTCTTCCCTGCAAAATGAAAGCTCTAAATACTTAATGTAGATGTGCAGACAGGTGTCTGCAAAGCAGACCAGCTTTGCAGTCTGCTGCTAACCAGCGAAGTTAATTTCCTCATTTATATTTCCTAAGAGTGTTCTGCAAATTTCAGATTGCCAGTTTGGAAAGCTCACCCTTCAGCAGAAAGAAGGGTCTCAAATTTTTAAAGCTAAGCATTACACCTAGATTTCTGTATAGTAGTTCAGGAGGTTTATTAAAATATTGGAACTCGGTCCCTGTCTAGAATGCAATTCAATGGACAATTGACAGGTTGTCTCTAGCTAGGACTCGGCACACTCTTGGCAAGCAGCAGCACAGACATTCTTTGCTGGCATTTATGCTTTTGTTTTGCTCCCATTTCTGACCCCCACAACCGTAACATCTTTCTTCCTCCTTCCATTCTTCCAGAGAAAGGAAGAAATCGGGAAACAATGCAACACGACCTTCTGAAAAAACATTTTAAGCAAGTCAAATAACAAGGACAGTTTAATGCGGACACTGGCAACAGTATCACAAGTGGGAATTGCATTTGAAAGAGTGAGAGATTTCATAAGCTGTTTGAATTGATTATTTCCCCAGTAGCTACTTGCTCTAATGAGTAAAACTGAGCACACAAACTTAGGAGTTACTGGATCCCCTGGACTCCCCAGGTTTTCCTCACAGTTACTCAAGAGGTTCCCAAATCAGTTCAAGAATTTTCACTTAGTAACAACTGGATGGCACAGGATAACAAATAGTCTGTTTTGCATTACCTTGGTTCAGCAGTACAGAGCTTCCCCAGAGCAACTGCTGCATTCTCCTGCACCGAGGTGTTCGTAGCATCACCACCAGCATGTTTCAACAAAACCCTCACAACATTGGAATTCAGTAAGGATGTCGCTGCTCCAGGAACTACAAGGCAATGTCCAAGGCAGAAAGCAGCATTTCCCACAATAAGTTCATTCTCAGAGTTCAAGAGCTTCAGCAGCACACCAAACCCTGTGAGAAAGAGGGCAGTTACACTGGATGTTCACAAATCTGCTCACAGCATTCAGATTTTCTCCTTCCTTTATCTCAACTCTGGTTATAGTTTCAGTATCCTGCATGCCAGGCACACGTGGCTGGGCAGTATGGCAATTACTTCCACAGCTACTACGCAAGAGAATATAAATAGGAACAGTATCCAGAGAAGTGCTGCTGGCTACAGCAGTAGCACCTGTTCCTACAGAAGTCACAGGAGCTCAAAAAACAAGATAAAATTCACATTCTGGATCCAGAACACTTGCTCAAGTCCTGCCGAGATGGCATTCTCACAAAATGCAGGTTAAGAGGTTCTTCAGCATCTAGTTTGTTTCTCCATTTCTTGACCATTCCTCTGAAACTCAAAATCCGCCCCCCTCCTTTGCTGCTTGCCAACTAAAGGATCCTGCACTGAATTTGAAAATGTGTGCCTCCCACCCTGCCACACTAGTGGGACAAGCGCAGAGCTGAGCACCTGTAGCACCAGGCTAAATCCGTTAAGGCAGCAATATTCCTATGGAAAGGCTAGATGCCAAAGGAAAAAAAAAAAAAGAAAATGCAAATGATGTGTCTTTACCTAACAACCAGCAGTTTCCTCTACTTCAGTAACCTATACTAACATATAGGAGCAGACAATTTATACTCTTGATAGAGAAGGCTTTAGCCTCTCTAAACAGCAGTAACCTCTCTGGCCACAGAATTTAGAAGCATTTAGAGAGGCTGCTTTCCACATGAAGTACAGCCACGGCCTTCGTATGCAGGAACTATCCCTGAGGTTACATAAGTCCACTTTGATTTCACTTCATAGTGTCGTCTGTTCTACCTCATCATGTCACACATTCCCCTTTTTAGCTGTTGCAAGAGAATGTTCTGAAAGGGCAGGATTGCTGCCGACTGCATTAGTGGTACCAGCAGCTGTTGATGCAGAAGCTGAACTAACGAGCTCAGCTGGAATGCAATGGACTGCTGTAGTGCCAAAGCTTGACTCCAAAGGGCTCATAGCAGCAGCACAGCGACCGCACCAGCAAAGAGATGACAGAAACGGTGTTTTTTCACCCAGAGGGAGAGTTCGTGGAAAGAAGCAGAGTGAAGTGAATCAGCGTGCTAATCCAAGAAAATGAAAGCTTCATCTACAGATGACAATGACACTAACAGGGAATATACAAAAGGAAGATGTTCTTCTGAGAGGTTTTTAATGAGCTAAAATCCTTGGGGTTCAAGCTGAACCATACAAGCTGACAGTCTCTTGACATATGCAGCTATCCAGACAAAACTTAAGTATTCTTAGCTGTAATTACTCTAGCACCAACTTAATCTAGATTGTAAATCATGCTAAATAGTGTTGCTCTACACGATTAGAATATTAATAACTCAAAATACCCGAAGGCACTCCTTTGATATTATTGCTCTTCTTCCATACACATTTCCTTTTATTACCGGGACAAATTTCCACATATATAGTCAAGGAAATTGTTAACGAATTCAGTCACTGGAAAGCAGAGGCCACTGGTTTTTGGAAACAGGGCCCTAGCCCATTACAATTATCAAAGAGTACTTTCCAGATATTCAGATTTATGGCCTTAAAAAAAAAAAAAAAAAAAAAAAAAAAGCATTAAGCCATTTTACTCGAGTAAAGCAGACTCCATAACTCAGGCTCTTTATCTGATGCATGTATTTCCATCTACACAGAGCCAAGGCTCATTAAGGACTACTTCAGGAGGTAAAATGGCACACTGCTCAGAAAACATGGCTCAAGTCATGCAGGAATAAAACAGCGTTCAGTTCTTTGAGAAGGGAAGAAGTACTCAGATGAGGCTTAGATTACGTTTCTGTATTCAGCCTCTACTTAGTCAAGTTGACACTTACTTTTGTCTGACTTCACCACCTCTTCTTGAGCTTGACTGTTACTTTTGGTGCAGATGGAAAGGGCCCTTATAGCGTAACTGGATGTGATCTGCCCACCAGCCTAGATGTTATCGGAATAAAGCAACATTGAAACATGCTATTCATAGCCCTACTTACTCAGAACAGAGACTAGCCTAGGTACCATGGAGATATTTAGTAACTCTGCATAAGCACAAATATCAAATTAAGACCTTTACACAGTATACATCTTGGCTCCCCCTCCATCTCTTCACATATGTTAGCCCATGACTGTGCTCAGATACAGACCTTCAGTGACTCAGACTGACATGCTGTAACAACCCGACTTTTAATGGGACACCCACAAGAGTAAGGGGGCTTTGCAAATTGACAGAGGAGTATTCTCAAACATCAAGAACTGATAAGAGAATAAGACTATTGAAATGACAGATTTACTATGCAGTAAAGGAGAGAAAAAAAACCCTCAAACCCTCTGTAGTGTTTGCTTGGATTAGATATGAAGCTGATACTGCAGTGTACAAAATGAAAAAAAAAAAAAAAAAAAAAGAAAAAAAACTTGGAAAGGAGAAATTTAAGCTGTCACCAGGTAATTAAGCCCACTGCAGTTTAACACCCATATCAAAGAACGAACTTCTGCCATATAGAAAGAGAACATAAAGTACTATCTCAGAACACAGGCTGAAAATGAGACAAGGACATCTTTCCCACCAATATTATACATAAATAATTCCATGATGCTCTAGACCCAGTTTCCTTTCAAACCCTCTGTCAATTCCTGTGCTATTACATTCCAACTATTAAAGTGCTGAGCTGGGTGCTGTAAACTTCTATGCTAACTTTATCTGCATCATAGGCTGATACATATGCCCTTGGCTTGATACAGATATAGAGGAAATGTTTCTGTAGATTGTTATATTTAAATTTAAAATTAAAATTCCACCTTGTCCTGATTCAACACTCCTTGACAAGTCAGTGAAGAGGGCTCCACTGCCTTTCAGCAGTCTGAATCTACCTTGGTCTTGGGCTCTAATCCTCCAGCTGGATCTGCAAGAGTAGATTCTGAATTTACTGGCCTCCTCAGTGGACCTGTGCGCATGGGCACAACCATCTGGCTCACGTGGAAACTACTAGAGAAACAGGGCAGCAAACAGGTGCCAAAATGGTAGTATCACAGTTCTTTGATGCCTTCCCCTAGAGAACTAAGAAGATCTTTCCCCTGCCTGGCTGCCTGTTCACATAGCTCCCTGAAATTATATCTGAGAGCGTGAACAACGTGAGGTGCACATGCACCCAGAGCAATCCAGTCTTTTTCCTTGGGATAGGGGGCTAAGCATATGGAGAACTTAGGTTGGTTTTCCCTGGGGATTAGAGAAGTAGAATAATATGAAATTTAAGTTCATTTACTTTCAAGATTTTGATCATTTTCTTCACGATGCCTCCTTTCACTACTTCTTCTACTGCCGAGGAGGATGCTGGCAGGATGCGACTTAGCACTCCAAGGGCTCTCTTAACAAGAAAAGTATGGGAGAAGAGGAAAGTTATACATATTTGTCCAGACAACCTTATCAGGAGTTCTCAAGTTATTTTCCTTTTGCAGCTGGTGGAGGAAAACCAAAGTACATAAAGTGATCTGAAAAATCTACAAAAATGCAGTGAACACAATATCTTTAGGACACTGCCCTTTAACCAGAGACTCAACTCTGCACTTAAAGGCTCAGGTCAGAACAGCTCTTAACATATTTGTTCAACAAAACAAATTCGCAGGAGATTCTAGTCCAGCACTGCCAGTATACCAAGTCAAAGTAGATGCAAGTAAAACACATTAGAACTGTTCATTTACATTCACCTAGAGGCAATAACACTACTCCTTTTTCAGACCACATCTACTCCCATTAATTTGCCTTGCAGAACCACCATCTGTGGAAATTGTACACACATTAACAGGAGTACAAACTCCTAGGAATCAGATGCAAGAAGTGTTAAAAAAAAAAAAAAAAAAACAGCCAACAGCTGGTTTGCACTGAAATTGCTCTCGTTCTTTTGCTTCTAGATGGATTTAACATTTTCAAAGTTTTTTCAAAGCTTTATAATGAAAATCATCCTAAAGATGATATGATTTTTGAGATTTTCTATAGGTAGATTTCAAGAGAACATGGAGAATCCTCTTATATCAAATATGGTATCAAGAGCTGGGCAAAAGTAGTGATATATTATTTCTTTAGTGATAATAATTGCACATATTTTTCTTCCTCTTCCAATACAAATGCGTAGACTTCCAAAAGACTTGCACAAGGCAGCAGTATACCCTGAAGAACCCTTATCAGTCTGCTGACATCCACTTACTGTCACAATCCTTCCATCCTTACTGCTGAGTAGGGACATGCATCTCCCACTTATGTCCAAAGCAAAACACTAGTGAAAAAGAAAAGAAAGGGAAAAATTCAGATCCAACTGATGAAGGGAAGTATTAGAACAGAAGCAGGCTAGACAAAAAAAGTCAGCCTGCAGGAGAGAACCCAAGGGAGACTTTAAGGTACACAGGGCAGTAAGTTACTAACTCAAAAGCACCCATATGTAATGGAAAAAACCTACGTTCTTGATGGAATATTTTGAAATATGCTAAGCATCTGCCTACGCAAAAATGGAAACTGATGTAAAAAGAAATTCACTGTAGTTCTATGGAAAGGTAGTTGATGTATGTACTTTCTATATGCACTAACACATATATGCATGGCTGATGGAGGCAGTAAAAGCCCTCTTTTCTGGCCTCTTTGCATTTCTCAGAGTCAGCTATTCTTAATGGTCACCTTAAACACCAAGAGAAGTTTCTAAAAAGTTAAGTGAGTAACACCGCATGTGGTAGCCCTGAAGTCCCTCACCATGTTTAAGATGAAATAGGACCAAATCTGTACAACACCGCCAAACTCTCCCCACACTGTGCATACTGCAAGGTTCACAATATTCCATTGTCATCCCCTCTCCGCCAGCCTCCTCCTCTATCTGAGTGTTCCTGTACAATATCAGTGGCCTTGCAGCAGGCCCATTCACAGCAGCAAGGGAGGAAGACCTGCAACTGCTTGAGCAGTTCTAAATCACTAGTGGAGTAACTAAAGCAAGAAGGTTACCCAAGAACATTCACACATCTTGTTTACCTGGATGGCTGCACTTGATTCAAGCAGTAAGTTCATCATCAGGCCCAGCACCGCAGACACGCACTCCTCGTATTCAGGGGTATTGCCACCGGGAAGACATCCATCCTATAAACGGAGGAGAGAAGAGTACACAGAGTCCCAAAGTCCAGAATGCATTTCCTATCATGTGTGCTTGCCTTCTATAAGAAAAAGCCCTACGAGCACTTGAGCTGATGAAGCCTCTTCCACACAAACAGGTTCTTACAGTTGACGTTGGTGTCTAAAGCTGTACGCTCCAACTGAGATGTGTGATATTTAGACAAGCCAGAAAATCTTTGCCCACACCGAATACTTTGTAGGCTAACGAGGGGGGTCAGACTGCATCCTTCCTCTGAGCACCACCACTGAGGGGAACCCCCTCCTCCCCCTACCAACCCAACTCATGTGAGCTGCATACAACTCAGACCTGCATCCGTCTGTCGTAAGGGGTATCTTGAGTGTCGAGAGGTATTACGGGAGGCAGACAGACAGGAAGGCACAACCGTCATTTCCATACAACGCCATTCCAACAAAACCAGTCTCTGGGCTACAATCAAGCCTCTTTACCACAAGCTTTAGGCAGGCCTGCCAGCACTCTTGACAGTCAGCCATCTTCTTGCGCACAACGCCGTCTGTGCACAGATCGCCCATGGTGCCAATACAGCGAGCAAGGGCTGTCCCATTCACTAGCTTGGCAGAGCTCTTAAAAAGAGAAAAGTAGTTTTATGAAGGAATGGCAAGACCACAAACAGGCATTCCTACTCTTCTGGCAACAGAAGCGAAGCCAGGATTCCAGAATCATTCCTAACAGTATGAAAACCACGCTGTTCAAAGTTTGCAAGTGTCCTTAGTTTCTACAACTAGAAACCCCTGAGTCCCTTTCGGAAAAGCCCTCCTGCAAGAGAACCCATGTTCTGTATCATCTCCCCTCTGCCTGAAGACAGCTTTTTTGAACGAATGGTAAACAAGCTGGTCGTGCAAATAGACGACAGACAGTGGCGGGCCCCGACTGCTCAGCTTATTTCATCTCTGAGCTAATGTCATCGTTCAGCCCTCAGATTAGCAAAACTCACCCCCTGAGTTGCAACTAGTTAGTGACACTGCATTAAAGTCACAAGAATGGTCTTGGCTTGACAGATTATTGATGAGACCGTACCACAGTCCAGAGTTTTCACTGCTTATAAAGCTAGCACAGGGTTATAAGCCAGCACTAAATCCCAGAGAGTGATAAAAGAATTCCTTTCACTAGATGAAATACAATAATTCTTGCACCTCTGCCACAAAGAACTATAAGCGACTCGTCGTGAAACTGAAAAGGAGAGAGTTGAGAGAGATAACACGCAAGTTAAGGAATACAGGCACTGAGATCTTTCATACCAGCAGCTGGCTGAACAGAGGTAAAACAGCTGTGGAAACCTCGATGCGACACTGGATTTTGAAACTGTTGGGGATAAAGAAAGCCATATTCAAACACTTATATCTCAGGGAAAAGGTGAAATGAATCAAAGCAACAGCACAGCAACAAAAGAAAAGTTAACCAACTTCACTGCTTACAAACCATCTGGATACAGAAAGGAACTAAGTCCTAGCCAGGGAGGTTTAAAGCAGCAAGCAGGTTTTCCATAAGCAAATATATTGTTCTCTCGATATGCTCCTTAGGGATGAATAAAGACTTCCTTAGGATGTAAAGAATGTCGTATTTGTTCTCACTCAAACTCAGGCAAAGCTGATGGCATAACTTGCTATCATCCATAGAAACATACCACAGACCTTTGTTTCAGAAGGACTACAAGATACAGAAATCCTTTCATTTCCAAAGCATTTTATCTGCTACCACACATGCCAAGTGGGTCTTTGTCTACAGGACAAAAGAGCCTTCAGTGTGCAACTCTGCAATTTGCCCTTAGAAACAGTGAATGTCATTTAGTAGGTTTCAAAACACAAATTGCTAGAAATGATGAAATGAAAGTTACCTTTCCTCTTTGGTTAGATCAGCCAGTATGCTCATGGCACTGCCAGCCCTGCCATCGGGGCTCTGGAGAAACATCATCAAAGTGTGCAGCCACCTGTTATTGCAAACAGACCAATTGGTCAGCTGGGCGTTAAAAAAAGGATCAGAATGGCATTTGAAGTGCACCATTGCCTACTTTTGGCTTTGATCTTAAAACCCTTTGAGTTCAGCAGGATTTCAGTCAAGTTGCATATACTCGATCCTCCAAACACATCTGGTCACCTAATTGCCATTGCAGCAAGGTCTTGCCACTAGAGCCTCTCATAAAATCGTGCTTCCTTGCACAACTGCACTGATTGTAGGGATGTACCAATATCCATCAGTGTTAAAGCATTTCAGCAGCATGTAAGCTTCCTACGATGTTTGAAACTGAGCCGCTTTACTGCTGGCAAGCTTCCAAAGGAAAGGTAAGCAGAAAAGAGCAGTCACGACAGGGGACACAGCCAGCCCAGGATTCAGCTTTCAATACATTAGAAACACATGTTGACACCTGTGGGGCTTTTAAAAGAACAAACCGAGCAAACTCAGTCCTGGCAGAGGTTAACCTCCCCAGGCAGCAGTGGAACCTTCACCTAGAACAGGAAGAGCATCATACCAGCCACCTCTTCAGCTCTTGGAAGAGTACTTACTTACTGCTGTATGATGCAGAGCTGCACACAATTTGCAAGATTTCGATACCTGGTGCCCCACATGCTGCTCTGCTGAGCTGAAATTCTTCCCTGTCATCCTGCTCCAGAGTTGTAGTTCAGAAAGAAAACCTGCAGTCTCCTCCCTTTTTCTTAATAAGGCCAACAGCTAAGAAGCTCCATACCTGCAACTTGACCTTCTGAGCTAGGTTTTTCTTGCCTTTTCCAGCAATTAGTCTTAGAATCTTTTCCAGAAGTTGACAGAAGATTTTTTTTTTTTCGGGCTCTTGACATTTCAAGCCCCAGCACTACCATTATTAAACTTCCTTTCATCCATGGCTCATTTCTTTAACTTTCCCTTTGCGGAAAAGCACCTTGGAATTAAGGTGGTACACTAAAGTGCACAGATCTGCTGGAGATCCTTTTCTGTTCATGCATTACTTCAAACCATTTAATACAAACAAGTACATTAGATTTTCTCCTCTGATAAACAGTAGAAGGAAATAGCAGGACAACATTATAGAGGTAATGGACACATCTTTCTCCCCTAGTGAGTCACTGCAACACTGTGAGCAATCAGAAATACCGTCAGGGGATGAGTGTGTGGCAGCTTGAAACTCCAAGTCCCGAAGAGATAACAATGTAAGTTCTTGCTGGAGTACCACCCAAGCATCCTAACCGTTTTAGAAAAGTAACTACTATGCTGCAAAATTACATAAACATCTCCGAGAAGAAGCCCTCCTACTTAGCTTCACCAACATGTTCAGGAACAAAGTTGACCAAATCCAGTGCCCCCACATACCTAACTTGTTACCTCTGCTGCTCCAGTACTGCAGAGTTTTTGCTAAAGGAGGCACTCTACCACTCTAGGGCAGAAGACAAAGTTACTGGGTTCCCACAAATTTTCAGAAAGCTTGCCAGCTATTTACTGCTCAGCCCAGTGCTAGTGAAATGCGTTTGAAACTCTGGGAGCCCAGGGAAAATGGAGCATTTTCTGAACTGCTGTAGCATTTATTACATGCTCAGGTCCTGGTGCCTGACCAATAGTCTCCTCCCATTCTCAGTCTCCGAGTAGAGGGAGATAAGTGCCAAGGTCTCCTTTTGGATCGCTGCTACCTCAGAAGAAAGCAATTTGGACAGCTGTACGTTCATATCAGGGCGAGTTAACAAAAGACGCTGATTTTCCTCTAAAAAGAAAAAAAATCATAATTAGTTACACAATGAAACCCTGCTCCTCTTTCTCCCTAGAGGCTGATTTAAAAGGTCTAATATCCTACACTCCACGACAGATGTGCTTACCACACAGAGCTACAGAGCAATGGTAAGTTAGAACACCCGCCACTCCTCTCAGCTCCACTGCTGGAATACATTTCGATGTTTAAATTCCTACTCACTACCAATATGCCAGCTTCTTGGGCAGCATTCATCTGCAAACTTTTGAGAACTGGAGACACAGTCTACTTTGCAGGGACTTCTAAGGCCCTGGTTGCCAAAAGATAAAGACCTCCCCCTTTTCCTATGGCATTTCTACACAGAATTGGTGTACCTTTAAAAAAAGCCCAACTAACTGATAACAAACTGCAAACAATAATCCCGTAACTTGCTTCCACTCTTTCATCAGTCCTAAAATGCCTACTGAAACAAACTGGAAACGTCCTGCTGTGATGGATGCAACAGCCAACATAATGTGTGCTGCTAAAGTGCATCTGCAATACTTGGGAATACTGTAAAACTTGGTTTATGGCATGGTCTAGACCCAGGTGCTCTGAGGAAGTGATATTCACACCAAATGAGATTAACAGTGCACAAACAACGATTAGCATTGATGAGTTTTACCATTCCCTGTGCAGAGAGCTTGCCAGAGGAGGAGAAGAGAAATGGAGAGATCCACTTCAGCAGTATTTTTCCTCTCTGCCGAGAAGCCCCTAGGTTAGAAACGATAGCTTTTAAAAAGAGCAAACAGTCGAAACCGGAAGAGCGCTTGCCCCATTTAACCGCATCATGTTCTGAACCAACTTCGTCATGCAAGAACTTCAAATGGCATCTTTTGCACAGGTCTCGTGTCCATTCCCTGACTCAAAAACGCTGTCAGAATAGATCCCATCTAAGCCAGTTTAGAGAGCTATTTAGATGGCTATTTGTCGGATTTGTTTCATGATTACTGAACCATAATGAGCTGTATTTGCTAAGCAGCCATTCTAAAAGGCAGAAGCCAAGGCCCCAAAGGGGGTCGTGCTCTTAATTACAGATTAAATGATTTTTTCAGATTAGAAATGATAATTTCAGATTACAAGCTGGGGGGGGCAGGGGGTAGATAGTTACCGACGTCAATTTGTAGGAGCAGGGAGTCTAGCCGATATGCTCCAAGCATCTAGGTGGTTACCTTAGATGTTCCTTGACAAGAGGCTAACAAACAGGCTCTCACCAACAGAGACGGAGTGCAGAAACAGGAGATCAGAGACGGAAGCCAAAAGCCATCAGTGCTGTCCGCTGCAGCCAAGACAGCACTGTTTGTCTAAAGGTCAGACAGAAGTCAGTCTATTCAGACATGACAACCTGTTGTTACATTATCTTTCAGTCACTGCATCTGAATGGCGATTATGCTTCCTGAAAATCTCTAAATCTCTTGTCATTTCCTCGTGCTGTAGCATCCTACTATCCTTTTTGGACAGTAGGATTTTGGAGAGCACTTACCGTCTTATGACCTTGTTGTCAGTGATGATCCTGAATCCATCATTTGTTCTAAATAAAGTTTGCTCAGTGCCTTGAGGGGGAAGAGAAAAAAAAAACACCACACAAAAACACCACACACAGAACACACAAAGCCAAATAAGCCCTCTGTTCCATCTGGCTGATGCAGCACAGTGAAGGCAGATTCCTGCTCTTCTGCGATACAGCATTAAATAAGGTCACTGGATCAACAGCTTGGAATGGTGGGGAAAGGGTTTGCACCCTCGAAGGAAGAAAAGCCCTCTGAACACTAGTTGAAAGAGAAGCAGCTTTGAAGCTGCAGGCTGTTCTAATTCCTGATGGGTGCTCTACAGAGTGACTGACAATGTTAAAGGCTTCTTAGGAAGGTGCAAACACTGGCCCTGCAAATCAATATATTTTAACCAACAATTACAGACATTTCAAAACAAACTAAGCATCTGCTAAATGACTCTAATGGGTGTTCCGACCCCTGAAAGGTCTTAACAGCTTCAGCTACACTTTCCGTTTAGGTACAAAAGTAGATCTGCTGGCTAAGTCTTTTGACATAAACATATTGCTGGTATCTATTTTCAAGAAGAGGTACAGTTTTTCCTGTACCTTCAAAGCCTACTCCAATTTTCTTAAAAATATCTGTCCCCCTGGATTTCAACTTTCCTGTTACTAACAAACGGGACATCAACTACTTACAGTCTTTAATGGCTCCTGTCAAAACTCTGATCCCTCCTGCATAGTAGAGGATGTTCTGGTCCGGCTTATCAAGTTTTTGCAGCAATTCTTTTATCGACAAAGCTGTAAACTTGCCAGACTGAAATTCCTTCAAAGCTCTCTCTTCTTCATTCGCTCTTTTTTCCTCCAAGTTGACTTCAGTCATGCAATCTAGGATATCAGAAGAAAGTTAAGAGAGTTGGATTAGGTATTCCAACACAATAAAGTTGGAAGTCAAAAGCGAAACCGGTTCCATGTCAGAGGGAACTCTGCTTTCTGCAATGACCCATGGCTGTACAGAGCAAAGCAAAGGGCTTAAACACAAGCAACACTTGTACACAAAGGCTACATGAAATGACTCCATAAGAAGCTGTGAGGAGCTAGAGACGGGGTTTGACTCTACCCTCTATTTTGATCAGTTTACTTTATATTTCTTACCTTTAAACAGGCTTTTCTTTTGTGGATCAATGTCTAAGATCTTCTGATAGCACTGCCTGGACTTAACAGAAAAAGAATAGAACCGTAATTGAAGATGCCATGGGAAAATGATAAAAATACAAGATAACCATTCAACTTTAAGTTGCCCGGTTTTTGGACCGCAGTACTGTTAAGGGTGGAAAAAAATAGCAACGAGACAGAACTTTCACAACTGAAAGCACAAACAAGCCAATACTTAAGCATACTATGTTGAATAAAAAGGAAAAATTGAATTGCAAACTCAGGAATACTCTAGCATGGGCAAAACAAGCCAAGTTTCCATTGATAAAATAGTCAATAAGGAATAACATGAAGAAAAAATGAACTGTAAACATCAACAAGGATTTTATTTGTATGCTTTGCTGGCGTGTTCACCACTAAACTAATCACAAGCTTAGGATAAGCCAAAACTTCCACAAACTGAATTGCTAGGAACTGTAAGGCAGACTACACTGATTTATTTGGTCTACCTTCTACAATTACTTTATTGCAGGCATGTCTGAAAGGCTTTTGATCTCAGCCTGCTCCCTTCTGTCACTTCAAAATTTTAAGCTATGTGGGGGTTTTACCAAGTGTTCAACTTGCTCCTAATTTAGTAAAGTATCTTGCAGTGAATCACAAATTTGTTCCTCTTGTCCACATTACGGCAACAGCAGAACAAACCATGGCTGTATGGTCATGAGACTGAACCAGCTTACTTCACTGAAGTGCTTCAGTGCCAGGTGAGCTTTCCCCATCAGAAAATAGGCTTTAATACATTTCTCATCACACTGTAAAAATAGATAAATAAAAATCAGCAAAACAACAGAAAGCAAATGCTACACATCATGACATATTCAAAATTTAGAAGCTTTGGGTTTTTTTTTCCTCCAGATTTCTGCTGACAGTTATAACTGCCCAAAAGTAACGGTAAGCACTGACAGGTATATTTATACCATCTACTAGAGACATCTAATGTTCACACACTGAATATTGCTTCTGGGTATTGACTGCTCTCTGTTCTCTGTGCAATAAGTAGTGGCTTGGTCTACTTTAAAGGCTGAAACGAGGTGGCGGCAACATCCTTCCCAGAAAACTGCCTTGAGTAATTCAAGCAAACTCTCACGCCCTTAAGTAACATCTAGACCTGCCTGAGTGAAAAATCAGCCAACACCTTGGCGTAAGCAGGTTTCTAGATCTGTGACTGCTGACCTGATCACAAAAGACAGAAACCTGTAATCACCTTTAAAGCCCAATTGCAGTCATCAATAGCTTTTTCATAGTCATGCATCTTCAGGTAGGCCTGAAATTAAAAAACAGGAGAGTCCAGGTAGAAAAGCTAGACTATTTGGCGTGTCTTACCCTAACTGTGCAAACATACTGAAAATTTGCCTGTTGAGATGCACATACATGGACTTTTTCAGGATAATTATTATTATTGACTCTTTGAATGCAATCCTGCACGGCATGCTCTAGGTGACCCTGCATATGCAGGAGGGTTGGACTAGATGCTCTCTAAGGGTCCCTTCCAAGCCTCCGTCCAAGGATCCCGTCCAATCCCCCTGCTCCAACAGGGACACCTAGAGCAGGGAGACCTTTAGTATTATAAAGAAAGGCAGCAAATGAGCCACACTTGTAAGAAGTCAAGTCTATAATGCCACTTAAACCAACTTGTACGTTGCGGTCCTCTCCATTCAGCCTCTTTGAACTTTTACCCTTCCAACTCCCCTCGACTTTCTCATCACACATGACTGGCTTTCAAAGATGCACAAGGTGGAGCTGCGCAATGCTTTTGCTGAAACACTTGCACCTAAAGACTCTTGTGTTCCATCTTGGTAATACCGCCCTGAAAGCCAGCAGTGCATTGTTGGTGGGTTTGCTTTCAGGTTTGCTTTCCCGTACTGACCTGCGCTCTGTTAGTGTAAAGCTGCTGCTTGTCCTTCAGTTTTTCTAAGCCTTCCGTGTATTTCTGAATGGCTGCGACATAGTCTCCTCTCCTGAAGGCATCATTTCCTTTCTCTTTCAGAGCTACCAAACACACACATTCGAAAAAAAAATCACATTTGTCTCAACAAGAGCAGTCGTGGGAACACTGCTCTACTGAGCTATCGTGTGAACACAGTCTCCATCTCTCCCTTAAAATGGAAACTCTGAGCATTTGTCTTGTCTTTGCTCAGTCCAGTTCTCAAGTACTGATGCTCTCTGCCTCCATCCCAAAAGCTTACCTTAAGGAGAACATCGAGGAGAAAAATGGGCAACACCCGTATGAAGTTATATAACTTTGTGTCAGCTAATCAATACTGTGCAGAAAAAATCTTGATCTCAAAAACACCAGATTACCGCACTGTGTACAAGAACAGCACTCAGTGTGGCACAACCACCTCTTTAATCATCCATTTCCTTCAAAGTTCCTCAAGGCATTGGCTAAAACCTGGCAATTACCATTTGCTAAACGCTCGTTTCGCTTTCTTCGTTTTGCACGCTCTCTTGCATCCTTTTCCAAAGCTGCCAGAAAGCCATCTTTGAACCAGAAGAGTCAGGGAAGTATCAGTTAAAAAAAAAAAAAAAAAAAAATTAAAAGCAAATCACAGGTGAGGCAAAAGTCATTTTAAGGGTCATCTCTTGGTCACTTCTCCACAAGGAAAGCTTTAAAAACGCATTTCACAAATCCAATATCAAACAGGATAGTAAAAGATAAGCTATTACACATAAAGCCCATCTTAGCACCTCGGGATTGCACACTTGCCATCTGTAGAGATGAGCTCTTAAGTCTTAAGTTTAGAATAATGAATTTTTCGGGGAAAAGCCCTAAATAGGATCACAAACTATAGCAAGACTACAGCTGCCTAATTACAAGGCTCCAAAATGTGTTGCTTAAACTGATTGAACACTCAACAGGAGAAAGAAAAGCTCCTTCGATTGTAGTGCGAGGCAGCTTAGCTTGCCTTGCATGAGGCAAGAGCAACCCTCACCCTGACTCAGCTCAAACAGCAATCAAGAGCAACTAGGAGATACAGGGAACAGTGTCCTACCTGTACTCACTGTCTCTGTATTTTTCATGTCCTAGAAAGAACAAATAAACATAGAAACACAGTGCATACACGTACACATACTTAATAAAACTGACAGCAGCAAAGGAGCATGTGCTTCAGTGCAGTGACAGGCACTGAAGCACGGGGAATGTCAATCTGCTACATTAACAAAGGATGTGAGAAACTCTATTATAGACAAAGGGCTTTCTTTCAAAACCCAGAAAAATTCTGTTTGTACCTCCACTGCTCCAAGTCATAGAGGTGCAGGCCCTACTGCATCAGTGCCCAGTGAAGGTGATGAAAGGTCTCTTACGCCTTCACCTAGTTTTGCTCTGGTACCTGGCACGCACGGAGAAGCCCCATGTTGTGGCATCTGAACACTTGCTTCCAACTTGGAGAGATCCAAGAGAAATACACTGTGCTCAAAAGGGTCTTAAGGCAAAAACCCACAACATCAGCTACCATCAGCAGGACTGCCGGCAAGCAAAACCAAGCCCTGCTCTAGTATATGTGCTTGCCTTTTTCCAAGCTCGCTCCACGAGGGCACGTTGTGAGATTTCACACCGTCGAAGAGATCGCAAGCAACACACAATTTAAGCTGCAAGGGAACAGCTGGGCCTTACGGGGGCTCCTGTGTTGACCGCCGTCCTGTTCGCTTTTGTCCAGCATCCCTCCTCCGGGCTGCCCTCGTGCTCACGGAGCCTCTCCTCTGTCTCAGCAAGCGCTTTCTCCTGCACGGCGGGGTCGGGGGACTTGAAGCCTTCGAGTAAATCGGCTAGGAAAGGGACAAAAACCAGGCACACACAGGTGAACTCGGGCGGCCCTGCGAGAACGAGGATCTCCCCTCTGCCTTGCGAGATCCCCGGGCAGCAGCGGCGGCCCGCAGCGCACGTTTAACGGGAGGTCTTCCCCGACCTGCCCCTTCCCGCTCCTGGGAGCGCTCCGTGCCCCCGCGGAGGCAGAGGGGACCCCCCGCTCGAGGCAGCGGCTCCCGCGCGGCGCCGCGCGCTCCGGCCCGCACCGAGCTGGTCGACGCGGCGCAGGAAGCGCTGGAAATCCGCCTCCTGCCGCTCGTCCGACAGCATGGCGCCGGGCGGCGGCGGCCGCGCCGTTGCCATGGGCACCGCGCCGCTGCGCTGCCGCTCAGCGACGCCGCCGAGCGGGCGCGCCCATGCGAATTAGGCGGAGGGGCCGCGCGAGCGGCGTGCCCGGCAAAGCGCGTCCCAGCAAGGCGCGCCGCGGGAGCCGGTCACAGCCCTTCCCGCGAGGCCGGTGCACAGGCTGGCAGCGAGCGTGGCCACTGCACTGCTTTGCTGCTGGCGCTGCTGCGGAAGAGCCGCCAAACCGCACCTCTGCTTTGCACCGGATTGCGTGTGTGGCACAGTCCCTGCCTTTCGGGTGCAATGCGGGGTCCCTCTTCTGGCCCAACGCAGGCAGTGCCGCGCACACACCCGCTTGCACTGAGCTCCGCAGCTCCGCACTTGCAGCCAGGGGAAACTGGGGTGCTCGCAGGTAGGACCCTGCGCAAGCGGCAGCCTCGGGCAGCGTGAGCAGCTCGCCTTGCTCACAGACCTCGCACCCGTCTTTGCTCCATTACTGCTTACACAGCACAAGCCCCTGGAAGGCAACCAAGTGTCTCCGTGCGCAGCGGAGCGTGGTGCTAAGCTTTCCGAGCACAGACGCGGGCAAATCCTCCGCACGAGGTGGAAAAGAAAACGAAAACTTTGAAATCTCTCCCGATCTGTTGCACTCTCTAAAACTAATACAAGCATTCAGAATCAGTGAGGCTCCATTCAAATCAAATAAAATCAGAACCCATGAAAGTCAGACCAATTTAATGAGATCAGATCAATTACAATAGATATATCGGATTCTATGGCCTTCTGCCACGTTTAGTCCAAATCTGAAAGTTGTGACAAATCCTATTAGCTTCTGCCGTGTTCTTTTGGATACTGTAAGGATTCTCTTAGTTTCTATTAAATGATGTCACATTCGATCAGATTCTGCCAGATTCTAATATAATGTAATATAACAGAATAAGACAGAATGTATTAGAATCTGTAAGATTTTATGTGATGGACTCTGTCACATACTGTAAGATTCTGTCATATTCTATTCGATTCTGAAATATTCTCATAGAATCTGACAGAAAATGACAAAACACAATAAAATCTGGCAGAATCATACAGAACTGGAAAAACATCAGAAGGTAACAGAACCTGAAGCACCTAACAGGATCTGAGGGAACCTGACGCGTTCTATTAGAATCTGACCGAATCAAATAAAATCGCACAGAATTTGACAGATTCTATTGATATCTGGCAGAACCCAAGAGAAACTGAAAGAATTTGTAAGATCTCATTACAATCTGAAAGAATCTATAGAAATATGACACATTATAAAAAAAAAAATCTTATAGAATCTGACAGATTCTTAAACATTTTAGTGCAATCAAATGTAATCTGAAAATCAGAAAGAAGCAAATAGAATCTAACAGATTATAGTAGAATGTGATAATTGGAAAAAAACTAGTAGAATCTCACAAATTCTAATCATCCTAAAAAAAGACAGAATTTACTAGAAATAATCAGAATCTACGAGCATCTCACAGAATCTCACAGAATATAAGAGAATCTCTCAGAATTGGGCAGAATGTAAGAGAATCAAACAGAACCAGACAGATTCTAATAAAGCCTCAGATAATCTAACAGTATCCAGAGATTCTATCAGAATCTGTCAGAATCGACTAAAAAATAGAATCTACCAAGATCTGACAGAATCTATTAGAATCTGACAGAATCTAATAGAATATCACGATCTATTACAATCTGACAAAATTGTATAGGTTCTAACATAAACAGAATCTATTGGAGCCTGGTAGTCTTTTAGAATCAGACAGAATTTACTAGAATCTGACAGAATGTAACAGAATCTAATAGAATCTCACAGAATCAGAGCTTGTATTACAGTGTAACACACTAATGGAATATATCAAATCTTTGAAAACCTAAGAGAATTCACATACGTTCTGCCAGAATCTTTTTGATCTGCCTTTGATTATAGGTTAATAATCGCATTTTAAATTGTAATTTTAAATTAACATAAGCCCCTGAAAGGAAAAGTCCACCCTCTAGTGTCCAGTTTTCTTTGATGGACAGAATCACTAGCAAAGGTTTAAAACAAGATCGTGTTAAGTGAGGACCTCTGCCTTTGTACCAGGCTGCCTTGCTTTCATCCAGCACTGGAGCCTACTACTAGGCATTGGAGCCTGGAGGAAATGGTGAAGCAGAATAAAGCACACTCTTTTCGGTCATCTTTTAATTTTCTTTTTGTTCAGCTTTTATTTTACTAAGAACACATTAAATTGCTGAGGCTACAGTTCCAGGTACCGTGTCCAGAAGATGGGGGATTTCCGCTGCCTTTCAGAGCCGTATGCTGAGCTGTAACCTCCACAGCGCGAGCAGGTACTGATACAAATCCTCTCTTGCTTGAAGGATGCGCACGAGGCGCAGGCTCTGCATTTCATTCCTGTGCATCCATTCTTGTTTTGTGCTCTCCATCCCTGCAGCTGCACTAGGTCATGCGCTCGCAAGGCGCAGTCTTTCACTTCAACACGTACCTCCCCGCCTCTGCCTGGGAAGGAGCACACAAAATCACAGCACCCTGCATGCTGTGCAAGGTTTGCTGTGCAAACCTTAGCCCTGGTTTTCAAAGCTGAAGATTTGCAAAGAACACAGACAACGTTACCGAAGTTGTTCAAAGGCAGCACCAGAACAGGAGCCTATTCAGCTGAGGAATGATTGCAAGACGGGCCGTATAAGACTGGCACGGAACTATACAGGGCATGGGGCCTGGTAGAACTGAGAATTGTGGACAGATAGGGCTGGCTGCGTAAGCTCCAGTGTTGAGTATGGCACAACTTGCTCTTGTTCAAAAGCTGTACCAAGAAACTGCCTGGGGTGTCCTCTTGTGCCTCCAGTCAAGGGGCACCTTACTGCTAGCAGTAGAACTTGAGAACCTTGGAAATCTGGCTCCTGCTGCTCATTTACGAGTGCCCGCAAAGGAACAGAAGAGAAGCCACTAGGCACCGCGCAGAGCTGGGACAGACACGACTGAGGGACGCAGCTGCTACAGCGACCAAAGGCAGCCACGGCGCCTTGAAATGGAATCCGGGCACGCGGAAGAGCCACTCCGGGAGCTCTGCACTCCAGGACAGTTTTCTCCACCGTTGGCCAGGAACGGACGAGACTCTGACAGACCCACTTTCTGCTTCTGGGACACGTCAGCAGGGCGCTCAGGGCACCGCGTAAAGCAACCACGCGTGTGCCCGGTTCAGAAAGGTACCACCTTGACTGCGGCGGCCAGACCGCGTGGAGCCGCAGGCCCCCGCTTGCCTCGCGCTGCGCCAGCGGCCCAACGGGGGCTGTGGGGCGCACGGAAACACGCCGGCGCCTCCAGCCCGGCGCGGAGCAGACTACGCAAAGAAGGGCATGAGACTTTGGGCAGGAGCTTTTTTTTTTTTTTTTTTCTTTGTAATTTTTATTTGAACACAGTATTCTGACAGAATGCAAAGTCAAAATCCTCAGTTAGTTTCAGTATTTACACCGGTGAGAATGGGAATAAAGGTGGAACTGATGCTTCACTCGGTAAAAAGATTTTTTGTTTTTCTCTTTTTTAACAAGATAGAAGGCCCCCAAAAGTAGGGAATGCTGGGTAAGGATGTCAATGGAGGGTCCGAGAACAACTATCAAAACAGCCTAGTGTGAAAATCGGGGTTTGACGGCTCCATAGAAAAGTGTGAAAATAAAACTCCACTCGAAACGCTGAACAACTGGATGCACTATTGTCTCATCATCTTACGTATGGTGCAGCATGAAATGTAGTCACTCCACAACTAGAAGCTGATCAGTCTGACTTGCCATATAGATATATATATGTATGTCTTGGATACATATATAAACATATACAGCGCAAACGGCATCAGGTTGGTCCCTCTTTCTAGGTTTAAATAAAAGCAATGAAGCCAAAGCTACCTTGCAAGCGGGGTATTTCTAAATCAAAGCAAACTCTTCTCCCTAAAGGGCCCGTCTGAAAGCACTCTTGAGAGTCGGTCGATGAGCCCTGGGCACTGGGAGGCGTCAGGCGTGCACTAAGCTGGAGCTGGACGGACACTGCTGGCGCCCAGGCGAGCCCAGGGCCCACCTCTGCCGCGGACAGCCTGCACCCCCTGCAGTCAGCACAGGCCTTTCTAAAGACGGGGCTGCGTGGGGCCAGGAGCTGCCGCCCTTTTCAGAAAGCAAGGCCAATTCAGGCAGCAGCTACCACCGCTCACCTCTGGCAGCTGCCGACCAGGGCCGCTGCAGGCCTTCCCGCTCGCTGGCCTGTTGCGGCATTTGCCTCCTAGCTGCTGCTCAGCTCTCAGTGGGAAAGAACTCCGGAGGAGGTACAGCGTGCAGCTGACAAAACCCATCCCCGACTCCACAGAAGCCACGAACAACCTGGGACGCTCGTCGCCAGGAATGGAGGCACTGTAAGCCCACTAGGTCTCCGCTGTCTCGAGGACCGTCCCCAGCTGCAGACGGCTGGAGCTTGTCGTGCCGCATCTGGAGACTAACTTCTGATAAAGAGCCTCCTAGGGACCACGGGCCGAATTTCCCCTTAGTTCCACTGACACTGCTGTGACGGGTCAGGCTAGGGCAGCATTTGACAAGAAGCTTTCGACAGAAAACCCAGCCCGTGCTGATGCCCTGTTCACAACGGGTTCTGCTCGAGTGCCTGTGCCTATATACTCAGTCACCCTCCATTTCCATCTCCAGGAACTGAGGAAAAAATGCAAAAAAACCCACACTTGGCAAATGACAAGACCATGATTTCTCACAGTTTGAAATGACCATCTAGTGATGTCACTGTTAGAGACTGCATACTTAGAAGAATACACTGACGAGAGCGGCTGCGTGTATCTGAGCCCAAGGACAGTCGCCCCGTCCCGGCCGTCCTTCGCTCGGTTACCTTGCGCACTGGAAGGGAAGCCAGAGTCAGCTCGCTTTCATTCTGCACTTACAGGCTTCTGACCCACCTAAGAGTTGTTCTCTTCAGCTTCTTTCTGCCGGAATAAGTT